CGTTGGCGCCGAGCGGCCTCAGCTGCAATAGGAGCACGTGAGTGTCAGATCCAGTGGGGGTGGGGGGGGGGGGCGACGGCGGCGTCGGATCCGCAAGGCGGGTCACAGAGAAACCACCTGCGGGGTAAAGGCTAAAGGCCTAACCGCTTCAACCGCGCCGTGCTATGCCGGCCGAGCAAGCGCCAATCCCGTAGCTACCCGAAAAACAGGGACGGACCAAGGAACATGGCGCGCCACCGGCCATAACATTTCCCCGGCCTCAAGAAAACGGTACAACGAAACCAAGGACGGGGGACAAGAAGACTCGGGAAAAAAAGCAGGGATCTTTGGGCTGCTTACCGAACATGGCGAGCCGATCTAACCCGTAGCGGCGGCGAGGAGGACCAAGAAGCTTCGGCGGTGGAGAGGACGGCGGATTTGCGTAGGATTTTTTGCCTTTTTCTTGCGGTGGAGAAAGGCAGTGCTGTGGAGAGGAGTGAGGAGAGAGAGGGAGGGCTCGGCGGGGACGAAGTGGAGTCCAGAGTGTGGGAGGTTTCGACGGCGCCGGGGAAGGAATGGAGAACCGGAGCTAACACCGGCGGCGACCCGCGTGGCGGAAACCCTAGGCGTGGGAGCGTGGGGGGCGGAGTGAGGGAGGGAGGACTACGGAGTGAGTGAGTGAGCGACTCAGACGTGGAGGGATGCTGGCTTTACAGCCGTTCGGCTGGACTTGGGCCAGCCGAACGGCTAGGCTGATCAGCCCAGCGAACAGCGGCCCAGCTAGTTGGTCAAAAACACCCTGTGGCAGAGCTATTGCAGCCATGAAATGCGTTGCGAGGCTGTCAAGCACTGAGTTAATGAGGATGACCCGACCGGCTTTGCTGAGAAGAGCCGATTGCCAACCAACCAATCTTTTATCAACTTTGGCGATCAGTGGAGCGAAGGCTTGCAAATTTGAGAGTGGCAAGCCCAGGTAGACTTGTGGGAAAGACGCTTCCTGGCACTGCAGTAGTCGGATGACTCGAGGCAAGGTTCTAGGGGAGACATGTATGGGCACAGCAGTACTCTTACTGAAGTTGATGTGCAGGCCTGTTGCAGATGCAAAGTTGTCCAGAATCTTTTTCAGGTTTCTTACATCCGGAATCTCAGCACGAACTACAATCACGCCTTGTTTAGTTGAAGAAATTTGGATTTTAGGGTTACTGTAGTACGTTCGTTTTTATTTGGTAAATAGTGTTCAAACATGGACTAATTAGGCTCAAAACGTTCGTCTCGTAATTTCCCACCAAACTGTGCAATTAGTTTTTATTTTCGTCTATATTTAATGCTCCATGCACGGGCCGCAAACATTCGATGTGACAGGTACTGTAGCAACTTTTTGAAAGTTGGAGTGGAACTAAACAATGACTCAGTGTATCGTTGGCGTATTGCAAAACGGGGCAGGCATCATCTGTCAGAGGATGACGGACTCCTCCATTGAACTGTATGTAGCGCTGAAGAACATCAGCTAACCAACAAGAATAGATAGGGGGAGGGAGCATCTCCTTGCCTTAGTCCTTTCTTGCAGATAAACCACGGACCAGGGCAGCCGTTTATTACAACCGCGGATCGTGTGATGTAGCCTGAAGCTTCTGCATCCATATCTGCACCATCTTTGTGGGAAGCCTCTGCAGGCCTCTAGGATTGTCTGTACCTATCCCCGAGTGAAAAGAGGGTCTTTATTATATGCATTATTTTTGGCCTTTTTGGTGATGAGCTCCTTAAACCATTATTACTCGTTCTTACCGTATAGATGACCCTTCTAGTGATTTTACCTTGAAGCTTATCATCGATGGCTTAAAAAATGTATGCGCACCGCGCATGATGCGTAGCCATGCTGGATTGATGGCGAAGCTTCTGGTGTGGCCTCTCGCTCAGGCCTCAGGACCACTAATAAGGAAATCCAACATGCATTGGTGGTTGACATGGCTCAACCTACGCCTCTCGCCTCATCTGTCATCACCATCGCTATTTAATTTAGCAGGCCATACTAGTTTTCTTCCCCTTGCTTACGATTTATACACCAGTTCATTGGGTACTACCTAACACCAGGGAGTGGCAATCTCAAAAAAGAAAAAAAAACACCAGGGAGTAGTGGCAGCAGAGATAAGACCATACGCCTGCTTCCTCAACACTTTAGCATACGTCGCATACCTGAGCACTTCACATATGGTGTGGCAAGGAAGCCCTGACATGGACGCTGCATGCATTTTGCCTCAGCCCGTGTTTAGTTGCAAAAAAAGTTTCAAAAAAGTGCTATAGTATCCATCATATCGAATCTTACGATATATGCATTGAGCATTAAATGTAGATGAAAAAAAAACTAATTACACAGTTTGGTGGGAAATTACGAGACGAACGTTTTGAGCCTAATTAGTCCACGATTGAACACTAATTACCAAATAAAAACGAAAGTGCTACAGTAGCCAAATTCCAACTTTCCCTCAACTAAACAAGGGCTCACACTCTGCATACCGCCATCACTTGCTGGGACACAAAGAATGAGCGAGGGCCGCCGTGCCCATGCATCAGCCACCAGTCCGTACATAAATGCACGCTGGTCCCGTACTTCCTCGCTCACTGTCGTGTGCATGTAACCATGCATCTATCTGCACCGAAGATAAATGCACATTCATATAGCCAGGTATGCATATACGCGCGCGATCGAGGCCCCTTCTCATGGCCTCAAGCCCTCGAGCAACGAGATGGAGGGAGACCTGGCCTCGTCGTGGCCTCAAGTGTGATGGGACTACGTCCCTGTGAAGAACACGATTATTCCTGGCTTTGGACCATTGCACTGGTCGCAGTCGCACTGGTTCTGTGGTCTGGTTTGCACCGCCACATTTTTTAGATAATGGAAATATATCTGGCTTTATCTCTTGTCAACAAGAGAATCAGACCACATTATTATACGAATTGTTTAACCATACAAATGTCCCACTCAAAACTCAATTCTAACGTAGGGAAGAAGAACGAGGTCCACTATATGGCCGTCGCAAGCCACTGTGGCACTGTCGGATCATTTTGTGTGAATAAATAACGTGTGCAACAGCCAGCCAAATGAGAAAGGGAGTGGGGAAGAATATGCAGTTCCCGGCTTGTCAGGTTGTGGTTTGTGGTGATAGTACATGCACACCTGCCCTCTGTGAGGGTTCAGGATGTTAGCACTGAACTGTAGTTTGGTCAGTCTTTCAGATCTACACATGCTGGTTGCTGCTACTACTTCATGAAAGAACCAAGTGAAACAGCTCCTGCTACGGTACTAAAAGCTGCCATATACGGACGATTGAAAGAAACATGTTTGTGATAGTTCCAGCAAAATTTATCATCAGTTGTTTAGTGTAGATGCTGGTAACCAAACGGAAGAACACGAGTGGACGACGACTCGAAGTCAGGACTAGACCGACCGATGACGACTGGACCAAGTGCCTGCTGTTGTTCGCACACACACCTTGTACATCACGTGTGGAGGCGAGCATGTGATGCAGAAGTACTGAATCCATGCATGGCTTCTTCCAGGAAAGTAGTGCATCAAGAAGCCTCACGAATCTGTTTAACCATTATTACGTGAATCAAAAAAGTTTCTCCATCTGTAGTCACTTCTCTGTAGTGGCAGGGTTTTCAGTTTCGGTTTTTAGAAAAACATCGTCCATCCCGAGATTACCGAAATTCGTGAAATTTAGTAAAAATTTCGCCGAATTGTTTTAAAAAACTTGCACATGAAGTATGTTTAAAAAAAAATAGATCTAAACAAATATCAGCATGATTTATAACTACGCATCTATTGCGTAGAAGAATATCAACACAAACAATAGAAACTATGAACCTATAGTTATATAGCACATGTACTGGCGTATTACAAAATTTTGTAATTTCTTTCGGCCACCACCAAAATTACTGAAATTTACGAAATTTCAGTGAAATTTCGCTGAAATTTGGAATCCTGGTTACTGAAGCGTGAAGACGGATCAAGAAATCAAGAGACTCAGGTGAGAAATTATACGGAGCGAGTAGTAAAGGATTATGTAGTTGCAAAATACGTGCAAGTATCTGATCTGATACTTCCAAACAAACGGAGAATCCTGCAGCGTCGTTGACTGATAATCAGCACATTTGCTTATGCTTCATCTGATTGGTCTCTGTTCAAACTTCAAACAAAGGCGTTCGAAACCTCATGCTCCATAGAAATTTTGTTCCAACTGCCCTAACTCTGACCGTTTACCAAATCGATCAGGTGCATCATTTTCGTAATCGATTACCCCAGTGAACCTCTAACTACCCCGAAGATAATGGGTTTTACATCCGTTAGAAGATCAATATATATGCTTTTTCCGTGGCAACTGGCAAATGGAATCATTGTTGCTGACACCAATAGTCCTTCAAAACATTGTGAACTACTACTGGTATCGAACTCGCCTGATGCGTGCGTTTGATTGCATCCACAATACGACAGTTCAGTGTGCCTGGCTGCCTGCTGGCATCATATCCCCCAAATCAGTGCAAAAACAAGACCAAAACAGAGAGCAGAAACGACTAACAGCGTACTTTAGCAGGTGAGCCGAAGCGAGCACGGTGGACGGAGCCCTGCCCACACCAGTCACCAACCCCCACACCAGTCACCAACCCCCGCGCAGGCGCCGGGCGCACCAACCCCCGCCCGCGCGACCGAGCCGTCGTCCTCCGCGTCCGCGGCCAAGCGGCCCTTTCCACGCCGCCGGCCCCGCCAAAATTTTTACTTGCAACGCGGCACTCGTTCTGTTCATGGGAAAGTCGACCAACCCCGAACCGAACCCCAAGACGCGCGGGCGCAGCCCTCCGCTATTTAAACGCGGCCTCCCCCTCCGTTTCACTCCAAGAAGAGCAGCACCATCCAGTGCATCACGAGCTCTTCTCCATCCAGACTAACAGGCCATCGCCTTTGCTTCTGATCCCAAACCATTTACGGCGCAAGTGCCTTCTGTTCAATCCCCAGTCCCACTGCAATGGAGTGCGAGAACGCCCGCGTTGCTGCTACCAACGGCGACTCCCTGTGCATGGCGACACCGCGCGCCGACCCGCTTAACTGGGGAAAGGCGGCGGAGGAGCTGATGGGCAGCCACCTCGACGAGGTGAAGCGGATGGTGGCCGAGTACCGCCAGCCCTTGGTGAAGATCGAGGGCGCCAGCCTCCGCATCGCGCAGGTGGCCGCCGTGGCCGCCGGCGCTGGCGAGGCCCGCGTCGAGCTCGACGAGTCCGCCCGTGGCCGGGTCAAGGCCAGCAGCGACTGGGTCATGAACAGCATGATGAACGGCACCGACAGCTACGGCGTCACCACCGGCTTCGGCGCCACGTCCCACAGGAGGACCAAGGAGGGCGGCGCTCTCCAGAGGGAGCTCATCCGGTTCCTCAACGCTGGCGCATTCGGCACCGGCACCGACGGCCACGTCCTGCCGGCCGAAGCCACGAGGGCGGCCATGCTCGTCCGCATCAACACCCTGCTCCAGGGGTACTCCGGCATCCGCTTCGAGATCCTGGAGGCGATCGTCAAGCTGCTCAATGCCAACGTCACGCCGTGCCTGCCGCTCCGCGGCACGGTCACCGCGTCCGGCGACCTCGTGCCGCTCTCCTACATTGCCGGCCTCGTCACCGGGCGCGAGAACTCTGTTGCAGTCGCCCCGGATGGCAGCAAGGTGAACGCCGCAGAGGCGTTCAAGATTGCCGGCATCCAGGGCGGCTTCTTCGAGCTGCAGCCCAAGGAGGGTCTTGCGATGGTGAACGGCACGGCCGTGGGCTCTGGCCTTGCCTCCACCGTGCTCTTTGAGGCGAACATCCTAGCCATCCTTGCCGAGGTCCTGTCCGCCGTGTTCTGCGAGGTCATGAACGGCAAGCCGGAGTACACCGACCACCTGACCCACAAGCTGAAGCACCACCCGGGACAGATCGAGGCGGCTGCCATCATGGAGCACATCTTGGAGGGAAGCTCCTACATGAAGCTTGCCAAGAAGCTCGGCGAGCTGGACCCGTTGATGAAGCCGAAGCAGGACCGGTACGCGCTCCGCACGTCGCCGCAGTGGCTTGGCCCCCAGATTGAGGTTATCCGTGCCGCCACCAAGTCCATTGAGCGCGAGATCAACTCCGTCAACGACAACCCGCTCATCGATGTCGCCCGCAGCAAGGCTCTTCACGGTGGCAACTTCCAGGGCACGCCCATCGGGGTGTCCATGGACAACACCCGTCTCGCCATCGCAGCCATCGGCAAGCTCATGTTTGCGCAGTTCTCTGAGCTCGTCAACGACTACTACAACAACGGCTTGCCCTCCAACCTGTCCGGTGGGCGCAACCCCAGCTTGGACTACGGCTTCAAGGGCGCCGAGATCGCCATGGCGTCCTACTGCTCTGAGCTGCAGTTCCTGGGGAACCCGGTCACCAACCACGTCCAGAGCGCGGAGCAGCACAACCAGGACGTGAACTCGCTCGGACTCATCTCCTCCAGGAAGACCGCTGAGGCCATCGAGATCCTGAAGCTCATGTCCTCGACGTTCCTGATCGCCCTGTGCCAGGCGGTCGACCTGCGGCACATCGAGGAGAACGTGAAGAGCGCCGTCAAGAGCTGCGTGATGACGGTGGCGAAAAGACTCTGAGCACCAACTCCACCGGCGGTCTCCACGTCGCGCGCTTCTGCGAGAAGGACCTGCTCCAGGAGATCGAGCGCGAGGCGGTGTTCGCGTATGCCGACGACCCCTGCAGCGCTAACTACCCGCTGATGAAGAAGCTTCGCAACGTGCTCGTGGAGCGCGCCCTCGCCAACGGCGCTGCCGAGTTCGACGCCGAGACATCCGTGTTCGCCAAGGTCGCCCAGTTCGAGGAGGAGCTGCGCGCGGCGCTGCCCAAGGCGGTGGAGGCTGCACGGGCGGCTGTCGAGAACGGCACGGCAGCGGTACCAAACAGAATCACCGAGTGCCGCTCCTACCCGCTCTACCGCTTCGTGCGCGAGGAGGTCGGAGCCGTGTACCTCACAGGCGAGAAGACGCGCTCTCCCGGCGAGGAGCTCAACAAGGTGCTCGTTGCCATCAACCAGGGCAAGCACATCGACCCGTTGCTCGAGTGCCTCAAGGAGTGGAACGGCGAGCCCCTGCCCATCTGCTGAGCAGAGAAACGGATCGGGAGAAAGAGCGGAGTGTTCATTGTTCAATAGTTCGAAATCAGTTTTTTTTCTTCTTCCTTTATTTTTGGAACGTGGGTAGCAAAGGCTAATGACTGTATTCCATTCTTATGAATTACGTTAAGTTTTTAAGAAATATGTATTCCATTCTAGTTATTATTTTGTTTTGACAGCTAAATGTCTAAATTATTATCGAATCAGGTTTTTCTAACAGTATCTTGATCATAAAAAGAAGTACAGGCTTGCTAAGTGGAATATACTTCGCAAGCCAAGATGTATGGGGTTTTGGGCATCTTGAATTTAGAAGTTAGTACTATTGTTTACTCAGTAAATGATTGTTCAAACTTTTGAATGAGGTGGGTATTTGGCAAGATGTGTTGAAAAAGAAATATTTTAAAAACAAATGTTTGCCCCAAGTGGTAAAGCGGCTGTCCCACTTTTGGGTAGGACTTATGGATGTTAAAGATCTTTTCTAAAAAAAAAGATTTAAAGTTAATAGTGTAAACTGAACTAGATTTTGGAAGGATCTTTGTATTGTACAAGAACCTTTAAAACTAAAACGTCCAGGTCTTACGGAATAATGAGAAGAAAAGATGTTAAACTACTCAAAGGGCTAAGTTCAACCCCTCTGAACATTTGGTTTAGAAGGGCAATAGTTGGTGATAGGTCCAAGGATTGACTTAGTCTTGTATCCTTAGTTTTACCCATTTATTTAAATGAGATGGTTTTATTTGGCTGTTAAGGAAAAATAGTGTCTTCTTAACTCAATCTTTGTATGGAGATATCATGAAAAAAGAGAGAGAATTTCTAGGGAAAATATTGTTCTGGCAGAGATACCTTTGAAGATAAAGATTTTTCTGTGGTAGGAGAGGTGTGATCCTAATAAGGGCTCGTTCGTTTCAGCTGAATCCAGGCCAGGAATAATTCGTGTTCACTGAAGCTTATTCAAATTAGATAACAAATCCAGCCTGGAATATTTCTAGGGAGTCATTCCCCTTCAAACGAACGTGGCCTAAAAGATAATTTACTAAAGTGAGCCTGAAAAGGGAACACTAAGTGTAACTTATGTGGCTTAGAAGAAACAGTACAACACCTCTCTTTTGACTGTCGTATGGCTAAATTTTTGCGGAATGCATTGTTCATCATTTTAAATTTGCATCCACCAAGAATACGGTCCACTTGTTTGGTTCTTGATAAAGAGTTTTGCTTCAAGTTTGAGAAACCAGGTTATAATGGGGTTGGCACACTACTACAGCGCCGTCAAGAGCTGCGTGATGACGGTGGCGAAGAAGACTCTGAGCACCAACTCCACCGACGGTCTCCACGTCGCGCGCTTCTGCGAGAAGGACCTGCTCCAGGAGATAGAACGCGAGGCGGTGTTCGCGTATGCCGACGACCCCTGCAGCGCTAACTACCCGCTGATGAAGAAGCTTCGCAACGTGCTCGTGGAGCGCGCCCTCGCCAACGGCGCTGCCGAGTTCGACGCCGAGACATCCGTGTTCGCCAAGGTCGCCCAGTTCGAGGAGGAGCTGCGCGCGGCGCTGCCCAACGCGGTGGAGGCTGCACGGGCGGCTGTCGAGAACGGCACGGCAGCGGTACCAAACAGAATCACCGAGTGCCGCTCCTACCCGCTCTACCGCTTCGTGCGCGAGGAGCTCGGAGCCGTGTACCTCACCGGCGAGAAGACGCGCTCTCCCGGCGAGGAGCTCAACAAGGTGCTCGTTGCCATCAACCAGGGCAAGCACATCGACCCGCTGCTCGAGTGCCTCGAGGAGTGGAACGGCGAGCCACTGCCCATCTGCTGAACAGAGAAAATACAAGGAGCAGAAGACTGTTTTTTTAGCTAATGGTTTTTATTCCTAATTTATTTATGTTCGATGATATGCTACGGATTCTATTGGATATATTATGGCTTTGGCCCATATAATATTTAATAAATTAAATAAACTCAGTGGCCCGTATTAATGCGCGATATATGATTTAATACCATACGAGATTTTGATTAGACGTTGACTCAGTTTATATGGTTGGACATTGTCTATCTGTATTGAGAAGCCGAGAAAAGGCCGCTGGTATGCCAGGCACGCCGCCGCCGCCGATAGGGCCATGGGCGTGGCAGACAGGCGGCGAGCGGACGGACGAACGGGGCCGGGTTTTGCCGATCAAGTGGCATAATTATGGGAGTTTCTTCCGTTTTTAAGTAATGGCAATTTGATGACGGGAGTTTCCTCCGTTAGTGCCGCTGAACCTCGATGGCGAGAGCTCTCTCGTCTCCTGTCTCTTGATCTCCTCATAAGCCTCTTCACTTCCCAGTCACGAGCTTATAATCCCATCTCCTCCGTCAGTCATTTCTTGACGAGAGCTCTCTCGTCTCATGTCTCTTGATCTCCTCATGAGCCTCTTCGCTTCCCAGCCGCGAGCTTATAATCCCAACTCCTCCGTCAGTCATTTCTTCTTCGCTTCGTGAGACAACCACATATTCAGTTGCTCACATGTTCTCCCCGTCCCGGTCCTTGCGCACACAGGGAACAGGGAGAGTAGGTCTCTGGAATGTCTATCGTCTTCGAGTTTACCTACTCGGGTGAAGGGCGGCAATCACGTTTTTAGGAGTGTCGCTGTCGACACGACTACTCGCTTGATCCTCTACTTCCTAGAGGATTGCTGGTGATCGGCACAGCTTCTCATCTGCACTACATCGAGCGGGACAGCTTCTCATCTACACTGCTTCGAGCGGCACGACTACATCGACAGGCACTATGTCTTCGAGTGCATCCAGCTCTGCCGCTGGGTATGTTTCTGGAATGAACCTTTTAAGGTCTTGGCTATCAATCCTTAGTTTGAGTATCACCTACATGCTCGTCAGACTTAAGACACACAAGCACATACATGATGTCACCAACATGTTCATATTGCTTACTGTCTTTTTCTGGATTAAATTGCTACTAAAATTTTCTAATATTCTAACACTCCAAAAACGTGATAGGCAATTTTTGGTACCTGGCTTTGCGAGTATGCTGAAACCAAATGTATTTGAGGACACTCATTACAAGAGGTGGCGGCAGAGGTGCATTCTATGGTTAACTTCTATGCACTGCTATTTTGTTGCTAAACCTAGGGCTGTTGGGCCGCATACTCCTTGAGGAGCGTGCGTTCAAACATGCTGACACTAGGTTCAAGGCTGCAATTTTGAGCGTGCTAGGAGACACCATAGTAGATGCATATGTGCCGCTATAGACTGGTAAAGAGATGTGAGACTCACTTGAGGCCAAATATGGAGTGTCTTATGCTGGTAGTGAGTTGTATGTCATGGAGCAATTTCATGATTACAGGATGGTCACTGGCCATTCTGTAGTGGAACTAGCTCATGAGATACAAACAATGACAAAAGAGCTCGAAATTTTTGGTTGCGTATTGCTTGATAAGTTTATGGCAGGCTATGTCATTGCTAAGCTGCCACAGGCTTGGACAGATTTTGCTACTTCTCTGAAACATAAGAGACATAAGTTTGGTATTGCCGAGCTCATTGGCTCTTTGGATGTTGAAGAGAAGACGAGAGCAAAGGACGTTCGTGGCAAGAAAATTAGTGAGGGGAGTTCTAGTGCCCATGTGGTACAGAAAAATCCTCCCAAATCCCATAAGAAGAAATTCCAATAAGAACTCAAACAAAAGTCCACCACTCCTTTTAAGAATAAGAAGAAGAACAAGAAAAAGGAAAATTGTTTCACTTGTGGCGAGCCTAGACACTATGCTAGAGTGTGCGAGGAGGCTAAGTGGAAGCCGAACAAGAAAATAGGAAACACAGTTGATACAGGAATTATGGGGTATGGTAATTTATTACCTACTGTTATTTCAGTTTGTCATTAATCTGATTGGTGGGTTGATACAGGAGCAAATATACATGTGTGTGCTGATATTTCTTTGTTTTCTTCTTATCAGGTCAGACGGACTTTCTCCTAGTTGATGGGGAACGGGGCGCGCGCGGCTGTACGTGGTGTTGGTACGGTCGATCTGAAGCTTACTTCGAGAAAGACCGTGCAGCGAAGAACGTGCTTCATGTCCCCTCAATAAAGAAAAATTTGATTAGTGGTTCTTTGCTTTGTCGTGATGGTTTTAAACTTATGTTCGAGTCTAATAAAAGTGTACTTTCTAAGTATAGAACTTTTATTGGATAAGGCTATGAGAGCGGAGGCTTGTTCCGCTTATCTTTGACTGATACTTGTTTTAATTCCGCAAACCATGTGAGCCACGATAATGAGACAAATATTTGGCATTCGTGTTTATGTCATATTAATTTTGGTTGCATGACTCGCTTAGCTAGTTTAAATTTAATTCCGAAATTTGATTTGGTCAAAGGTTCTAAGTGCCATGTTTATGTTGAATCAAAGCAACCTCGCAAGCCTCACAAGGCTGCTACGGCGAGGGACTTGGCACCGTTAGAACTAATCCATTCTAATGTGTGTGAGATGAATGAAGAGTTGACCAAAGGTGGCAAGAGATTATGAAACAACGTTCATAGATGATTGCACTTGATTTTGCTATGTGTATTTATTAAAATCAAAAGTGAAGTGTTGCATTATTTTAAGATTTATAAAGCTGAGATAGAAAATCAACTTAAGAAGAAAATTAAACATTTACGGTCTGATCGTGGGAGAGAATATTTCTCAAACGAATTTTCTGAGTTTTGCGCGGGTGCATGGCATTATTCATGAGAGGACGCCACCATACTCCCCACAGTCCAATGAGATTGCAGAGAGAAAGAACCGCACTCTAACTGAGTTGGTTAACGCCATATTAGAGACTGTGGGACTATCTAAGGAATGGTGCGATGAGACAATTCTGACAGCGTGTCATGTTCTGAATAGGGTGTCCACAAAGAACAAATAAATTACACCATTCGAGGAATGGGATAAGAAGAGATTAAATCTTTCTTACCTGCGAACATGGGGTTGTTTGGCAAATGTGAATGTACCAATAAACAAAAAATGAAAGTTTGGACGAAAAAATGTTGATTGTGTCGTTCTCGATTATGCTATTCAGAGCAGGGGTTATAGATTTTTAATATTAAACTCTAGTATTCTTGATAAGTTTGTTGGTACAATTATGGAATCTAGAGATGCGATATTTTTTTAGAGTGAATTTCCCATGGAAAATACACCTAGCACTTCTAGTCATGAATCTATTTTTCTGCCTGAGACACTTGAACCGATAATACACGCTGATGTTGAAACCCATGAAGAAATTCCTGAGGAGGATAATAATATAGTCACTCAAGAGAGTAAGAGACGGAGGACTACAAAGTTCTTTGGTGAAGACTATATTATATACCTTGTGGATGACACTCCCACAACCATAGCTGAGGCATATTCATCTCTCGACGCTGACTTGTGGAAGGAAGAAATTCAAAGTGAGATGGACTCTATTATATCTAATGGAACTTGGGAAGTGGTTGATCGTCCTTACGGATGTAAACTAGTGGGGTGTAAATGGGTCTTCAAAAAGAAGCTTAGGCCTGATAGTACTATTCAGAAGTACGAGGCGAGGCTAGTGGCTAAAGGTTATACTCAAAAGGAAGGCAAGGACTATTTTGATACATATTCACCAATTGCCTGTTTGACGACCATACACATGTTGCTTTCTTTGGTTGTCTCACATGGTCTTCTCGTTCATCAGATGGACGTTAAGATAGCTTACTTGAATGGAGAGCTTGAGGAAGAGATCTACATGGATCAGCCTGATGGATTTGTAGCAAAAGGTCATGAGGGTAAGGTTTGTAAATTATTAAAATCCTTGTATGGCCTAAAGCAAGCTCCTAAGTAGTGGCATGAGAAGTTTGACAAAACTTTAACATCAGCCGACTTTGTTGTGAATGAAGCTGATAAATGTGTCTATTATCTGTATGGTGGAGGAGAAAGTGTAATTTTGTGCTTGTATGTGGATGATATTTTAATTTTTGGTAATAATATTAATGTGATCAAGAAAGCAAAAGATTTTTTATCTAGTAATTTTGAATGAAAGACTTGGGTGAGGCTGATGTTATTCTTAACATAAAGCTACTGAGAGAAAAATGGTGGCGTAACACTTGTGCAATCCCACTATGTGGAAAAGGTGCTAAATCACTTTGGATATAGTGACTGCACGCCTGCTCCAACTTCATATGACCCAAGTGTGTTATTAAGGAAAAATCATAGAATAACACGGGATCAATTGAGATATTCTCAAATTGTTGGCTCACTTATGTATTTGGCTAGTGTAACAAGGCCTGATATCTCGTTTGCTATGAGCAAACTTAGCCGGTTTGTTTCAAATCCGAGAGATAAACACTAGCATGCTCTTGAGAGGGTGTTGCGCTATCTGAAAGGAACCATGAGCTATGGCATTCACTATACTGGGTACCCAAGAGTACTAGAGAGTTACTGTGATGCAAATTGGATATCTGATGCTGATGAGATTTACGCCACAAGTGGATACGTGTTCTCACTTGGAGGTGGCGCTGTTTCATGGAAGTCTTGCAAGCACACTGTCTTAACGAGGTCAACAATGGAAGCATAACTCACAATATTAGACACCGCCGGCATTGAGGATGAGTGGCTTCATGAGCTCCTAATGGATTTACCGTTAGTTGAAAAATCAATACCGGCCATTTCCATGAACTGTGATAACCAAACAGTGATAATCAAGGTGAACAGTTCTAGAGACAACATGAAGTCTACAAGGCATGTGAAAAGGCGGTTAAAATCTGTCATGAGAAACTCCGTGTGGCAGAGCCGGCTAAAATAACTCACTTTCAGAGGTGCTTGTCTTCCAT